ACCACAAAATTAACTTAAGAACAATATCCTGATCCTGCTATTTCTTAGATAAATAAATTTAGATGTTCTCAGACTGAGATCCAGCCGTGATACATAAATGCATCATCCTGCTAATTTGTGGTAAGGCATTTATTATTTCAAGTCATTAATGAACACATTACTAAACACAAAATCTGTATGGAAATTATAATTACAGCTCTTATTCAGCTGCATAATTGATTTTTAAAAATTGTTTATTTTATTTTATTGTATCACATTATTTTTATGCAGTAAAATGTGACAGTACCACATGCTTCTGAGTCAGCTGAAAAACATCCTAAACAAAATTGCCATCAGCCTGACCTATCAGGAGCAGGTGAATGGTATCCAATGTGCTGTTCACATCTATCTCCCCTGCTTCTCTTCTGCTTATTTATTACCTGTTGTAATTAAAACAATGAAGGGTAGATGGCTCACACAATGGAATTCTTAGCAGGTGATGCTCCCAGCTAATGACCTGAAATTTCAACCTCCATTTCTTTGTCTGCAGAATGAAGAAGGAGTGATATAATCATGCAGAAGAAAAGAGAGGAAGACAGGAGAGAAACATGATCTATTTTACTTTCTTTAATAATTTTCTTCTACTTTACTGGCTAGCAGCAGAAAACATGAGCTGGGAGGAGAGTTATAGTTCTAGAGATAGACGAAGAGATGAATTATTTGTTGCTTTTGTATTCATGAGAAGTTTACTGTCTCAGCACTTTCAGTTATGAATCTTAAACACCACGTTGTGTCTTATTATATTGGACAAGTCATTTATCTGGAGTATATGTAAGACTAAATAAGAAAACAGCGAGCTGAGCTTTTTTCCAGACCCGAAGGCTGTATAAGCAGTCTCAAATAAATCTTTTTACGTTCTGCTGGGTAAGAAACCATTATGCAATCTGTCTGCATCCTTCACAGCACAGGCCATCATTTGACAAGCAGGGAGGGCCTCATAGCAGTAACCCTCCAGATACAGATGAAAGCTCCATCTGGGCCAGTATCCTGTGCTCAGCACTAATCAGAAGTAAATGCTGAAGAGCAGACGGGAAAAGCATCTATGAGACCTCTCCTGACTACCCTCTTGGCCTGGGGCTACCTTCAGTCCATGGGATTTCCTGAGCCAGGAGTGGTTTACCTACATCTCCCTGGCTGTCTACCAAGCATTTGTCCCATTTTCCCTTCAACACAGCTAAACATTTTCTGTCCGTAACATCCATTGGCAAATAGTCCTACAGGGCTTATGAACTTTGTATGACAAAAATCACTGCTTTTTGCGTGTCCTGAAGTTGTCACTTCTTGGCTTTACTTTGATGGCCCCTGGTTTTTGTGCTGAAAGACAGTCTAGGCTGCAGACCACTCATGGCTCTGTAAACACAATGAAGTGTTGGCCATAAGTCTCATTAGCGGGCTCTCTCTCTCGAGCTGAAATGTCCCTGTCTGTTCCTGTTTTCCTATTACAGAAGCCATTTCATATCTACAGTTATCTTGGCAGCCCTGCTCTGACTCCTTTCCAGACCCACTCCAGGGAATGAGAACTGCACACAGTATTCAAGGTTGGGGCAAATTGTGGATTTATGCAGTAGCACGACATTTTCTGTTTTGTTCTCACATTCCTTTCCTGACAATTCCTAACTCTCCACATGACTTCTGAACACTGCTGAGTGCTGACCTGATGTTTTCAAAGAACTTTCTATTCTGATCCTCAGGTCTTGCTCCTGTGTGGTAATGGTCAAGAGGTCATGAATCTTCATGTGAAACTAGGGGATTTTTGCTTGCTATGCGCATCGCTTTACATGATCCATCTTAAAGTCTTTTCAGGTCCTCCTACAGTTTCCTACAAACTGCATTCATCTTTAGTCTGCCAAGTAATTTTCTCATAAGCCAATTTACTCATTGTACCATCTGATCTCTTTTCTGGGTCATCTATGAACATACTCAATGGCAGAATTTTCAGCTTAGTTCCCCGTTGAACTCTTCTGGGATCAATTCTCCCCTTGCAAGAATTAAATGTTTGCCCCTGTCCTGCATTTCCTATCTGGAATTCAGTTCTTTATTCAGTTTAGGATTTCTCTCTTCATTCCATTCCTTTATTTCCTTAAAAGATTTATTTTAAGGATTTCTCTTAGAGCTGATGGGAAATCAAGTAGATTGTACCATTTAGATCACTTTTGCCTATATGCTTGCTGACCCCTTGAAAAACTCATTAGGGGTTTGCAAAACAGGATTTTCTTTCATGTAATCTGTGCTGCTCTTCCCAAATGGGTCATATTGATCCATATGGCCTCTCATTCCATCCTTTATTACAAACCCTACTTAACTGCCAGTGCAGATGTCCAGCTTACATGTCTGTATAATTGCCCACTCCCTGTATGAAAATCAGGGTACAAGTGCAATACAGTTACTTACATCATGAGCCATGACATTTTCTTTCTAAATCTTTTTGTCTCTACATACCTATTGATCAATTCAGTTATTTGTCAGACTGACTTTCTTTCTGTTTCTCTCTCTCACTGGAACATAAGTTTCTAATCTTTACATTTTATCCCTGAACATAAAAACAATGCCCAAGCTAGTGATCATGAGAAAAAATTAACAACTGGTAATATATTTATAGCAAATTTTAACCTTAATACCACTGAATATATTTATCTTACATAATTCATTAATCTAACCTAAACAGGCTAGTAAATACAGATTTACAGTGAGCTGGATATCTCGATATTTGATGTTAAACTTCCATTATTTTTACTGTTGAATACTTTCCCTGAGTTAGATGTGATCATGCACATCTCTAGCATTTATCCCAAGCAAGCTAGAAGTCATATTTGCTCAGTTTGAAGAATCAAAGGCTTTCCCCAAACTGGAAGGAGAAGAAGTTTTAACAGTACCCCAAAGCCCTTGTTTGTTACTGAATTTAGTGTAAGTGGTTCTGCTCCGTACTTCCACTGGATGTGGCTGCCCATATGGAAAAATGGACATAAATCAACTCTTCTGTTTGAATCCCAGTCCCTTGTGCCTGCAGAGCCATGCCTGACACAATTGTTTGCATTTACACTGTTCTTTCAAAACTTGACACCCCCATTCCTCATGTTCATATCTAACTTGGTAAGTGCACCCTATTCTACATCCTTCCTTCCAAATATTAGAAACAGTTATTCTTTTTCTCAGGCCAAGATCTTTCATGTACAAAGTACTTGTCTTAAAATCTCACAATCCTGGGACTTCTGTTGTCCAGACAACATTCTGCCAATGATAGATACAGGATGGTCAGCAACTGCTGGTCAATAGGCAGTGGGATTACTTTATCATAGGATGACAATACTTGTCAAGGCCTAGAACAGGTAAATTGTTTTCTGCATCCTAGGATTATTTTTTAATTTCACATCTGCACTGTCATATATCTTCCTTAATATTCAGTGCTCTTCACAGTTACTTGCTTTTTAATTTTAGGTTAGCATACTTAATCTTTTGAACTCCCAAACAGTGCTTTACATTTTGCAAAAACCCAACTTCTTGCTACTGGTCTAGCATGGTAACCCAGAACAGAAACCGACCATTTGATCGTGTTATTGTCATGAATAGGAAATGGAAAAATAAGATGCATCCGAGAAATTAAGAATTGCAGATTTTGATGGTTCTCATTGTGCAGCAGAAATCACTGCAAGTTATAGCTACAAAATGCATAAAATACATTAACTCCCAGTTTGGGATGGAAGGTATAATCCAGTTACAAGCCCCTGTCATGGGCAGGGACGCCTTCTGCTCAGAGCCCTAACCAGCCTTGGACACTTGTCTTGAACACTTGCAGGGATGGGACATCCACAGCTTCTCTGGGTAACCTCTCCCAGTATCTCACTACACCACAGTAAAGAATTTATTTCTAATATTTAATCTAATCCTACTGTCTTTCAGCTTGAAGCCACTGCATGCTCTTGTAAAAAGTCCCTCTCTATCTTTTTTGCAGACTCCCAACAAGTACCGGAAGGCTGTAATTAGGTCTCCCCTTCTCTTTTCTAAGAAGAGAGAAGGTCTTCCCTTTTCTAAGAAGTAATTAGGTCTCCCCTTCTCTTTTCTAGGCTGAAAAATCCAAAGTCTCCTAGCCTTTCCTCATAGAAGAGGTGCTCCATTCCTCTGATCAATGTGGTGGCCTCCTCTGGACTCTCTCCAAGGACCCATGTCCTTCCCATGTTGGGGACCCCAGAGCTCGATGAGTTATCTCCTGACATTACTGGACTGATCTGCTCAGGTTCAACCCAAAACAGACAGACTGAAAACAAGCTATTTGTAAAACATAGTTACTGTGATGTGCCGTGGGGGTCTAAGCATGTCAGGCAACTTTCCCACAGGGATGACTGATAGCTGGATTATTTAACATAGACCAATTAATAACAGAACAAGAAGCAATGGGCTCAAGCTGAGAGAGGGTGCGTTTAGATTGGATAACAGGAATAAATTCTTCACTGTGAGGGTGGTGAGGCCCTGGAACAGGCTGCCAAGAGAAGCTCTGGATGCCCCATCTCCACACGTGTTCAAGCCAAGGTTGGAAGGGGCTCTGAGCCACCTGGTCTAGTGGGAGGTTTCTGTGCCTATGGCAGAGAACTGGAACCAGATGGTCCCTTACATCCCAAACCACTCTGCTATTCCGTGTTTCTACGTTTTGCTATTCCCCAGATGCTTCTAGTGTGGGGTTTATTATGAAGCAGAACCTCTGCCTGTCACCGCTTCTATTTCTTCCCCAAGCCCGAACACAGCTCAGAGCTGGCAGGCACAGGACACGTTCGAACACACAATGCCGGGGTGCGGCCGCCGATCCGGCGCTGTCCCGGATTCCCCTCAGCAGCGGCGGCGGCGGGAGCCGGGACGGCGCCGCCCGTGAGGGAGGGGGCGCGGCTTGTCCGGGGGCGCGGCTTGGGCTGAGGGCGCGGCCGCCCCGCCTCGCACCTCCCGCCCTTCCGCGCAGGCGCCGCTGAGCGGAAGTGGCGCTGGGCGGGGGAGGCGGTGGCGGCGATGGCGGAGAAGTTCGACTCCCTGGAGGAGCACCTGGAGAAGTTCGTGGAGAACATCAGGCAGCTCGGCATCATCGTCAGCGACTTCCAGCCCAGCAGCCAGACGGGGCTCAATCAGAAACTGTGAGGGGCCGTTGTCGGGGGCGGGCCGGGCCGGGCTGCGGGGCCTTTTCCCCCTCCAGGCCCGGGGTGCTGCCTCAGGGCTGTCTCGCTCTCTGCCTGGCTATCGCTGGCCTCGCAGCCACCCTCAGGGGCGGCGCAGCGACCCCGAAACCGGCTAAACCCGACCCGTTTTCTTCCCGACAGGAATTTCATGGTGACGGGCTTGCAGGATATCGACAAATGCCGACAGCAGCTTCACGATATCAGCGTGCCCTTGGAGGTTTTTGAGTAAGTCTGTGTGTGCCTGGAAGCGGGGGTGCTGCAGTCGGTGACTGGAGGTAGCCTGGCTTCGCAGCGTGGATATTTTAGCTGAGGGCTGCTTGTCTCAAACCCGGTCCTTCTGAAAGCGTCGTGAGAATGTGGGCAGGCAGAAGGAGGTCAGAAGTACCTTCTGCCTGTGAGAAGGCAGAAAGGTAGGAGAGGTCATAAAATATATACCTGTCTTCGTAGAACCACGGGATGCTTTGAGTTGGAAAGGACCTTAAAGCTCATCTAGTTCCAGCTCCCCCACCGTGGGCAGGGATGCCACCTACTAGATAATTTGCTCAGAGCCCTGCCCAGCCTGGCCTTTCCGACTTTTTTTGACGTCTGCATATGTAGGCAGTAACACGAATTCTGCCGAATTTAGTGATTTCATAACATCACAGAATGAGTCAGGTTAGAAGGGACCTTCAGGAATGTGTGTTTCTAACACCCCTGCCATGGGCAGGGACACCCCTTTAGTAAGTCAGCTTTCATTTGTAAAAATAGGCTTTTACACTAGATTAGGATCAGGATTTAAAGTTCCAAGGGAAAATAAATTAAGTCAGTACTCAGGTGTTTAGTTTCAGAAAATTGCAACATTAAAAGAAAAAGCAACTTAGAGGAAGAGCTATACTAGAGAACTTTTGTGATATAGCTGATATGTTAATTTACTGGTGTTTCTTCTAGGTCCAGATGCTGCTGGTCTGCTGTACTCCAGTGTGCTACTGGCTGTACATTGCTTTTTTCAATTGGGCTTTTACTCCAGCTGTAAATTTGTGATGACTCTTTTCAATGTTCTCTCTAGCGAGTTTCCCTTTGCCAGGAATTGTATTGCAAAACAAAATTGCAGATGAGTTTGCTGATACAGTAGTGTTAATTTTTTACTCTTCACTGTGGTATGTGCAGTTCCTCCTCATCCTTGATCTGCTGGGTGCCATATTCCCGTGTGCTTAATGCTCACCATGTCCTAACTAACCCACTTCCTGGTTAGTGCCCATCCAGTTGATTGGAAAAGGACCATCTTCCCCTGATCATCTGTGCTTATAACCTGTGAGGAGCTGGTAGATACATCTATTTTTTTTTGGTGTGCCTTTAATACTTCATTCAAAGCTCTTGAGGCTTTCTGGAAACACAGGTTTGCTGGCCATGGCCTTGTCCTTTTGGAAGGCCATGCCTTTTGGAAATGGCTGAGTTTAACTGTGGTGGTTTTTAAAATGCACATTTCAGATAATAGTGGAAAGAAAAAGGCAGCAAGATGAGTAATTCTGTACCTTGGAGAGCATCCTAGTTGGAATATGATCATTTAGCAGTGTCTTTTCTGTTTCCAGATACATCGATCAAGGCCGCAACCCTCAGCTTTACACTAAAGAGTGTCTGGAGCGAGCTTTGGCTAAAAATGAGCAAGTGAAAGGAAAAATTGACACTATGAAGGTAAACCAGAATTAATGGAAGTATAATGCAATAATGTGTTTGATAAATTTTTACTTTTCTGTAAATATGTGGGTATTTTTCACTTGTGCACTTTCTGTTATTATGTCATTTGTCTTAGAAATTGTTCTGCATCCCTGTATCTTAATTGATGCTGATACAGCCTGTTCAGGAAAGGAAACCTGTAGTTTATCCCACAGTTGGGGATGCAGCTTTCACTGTGATTTTATATTGATTAAAGCTATATGTAGCAGTAGAGATATTTTACTTGGGTTTTTTGCAGGTGTGGAGTTTTGCTGTGTGCCAGTTTACAAATAAGCAAAACAGAAGGGGTATTTTTCCAGTCTGGAATGGATAGTAGAGGTTTAAAATGTCAAATATGCTCTATAATCATCAGTCAATCTTTAAAAATTTGTGAAAATGCATGCCAGTGCTTAGGGTTTCTGAATTTGTACTTTCATTTAGTGTGAACCTAAGCATTCCGTGACACTGTTTAACTCCTGGAACTACTGCAAAAAAACACAGTCAGAAAAGGAAGTTTAGTGAGTTCTGAGAATGTTCTTTGGCTGAACTTAGTGTGGAAGATGACAAGTTGTACTGCCCAATGTGGACTTAAGGAGATAAGTCCTGAGCTTCTTTTTCTTTTCTCTGTGCTTGTGAAATTGTGTACTTGAAAGGCAGGTGTGAGTTGCTTTTTGAAGGTGGAGTGGATTCCATATCAAATCAAGAGGACATGTCCTTAATCAGCTTTCCTTAACAAGGTCAGGCAGATATGGGTGCACCAGAGTTCACTAGAGAGGTCCAACTGCTTTGTATTTTTTGGAGAAAATGCAGGTGAATTTCTGGGAATTCACAGACATGTATGTTTGCCTCATGCATTCCTCGTGGATTTCACTTGGGCATTTTATGTGGATTTTGTAAATATAATTTTCTTTGTGTGGTTTTGGGGCTTTTTGGGTACTTCACTGAGAGGTGTGTTGGGTACAAACATGTCTGTTCATTAGGTAATATTGCTTGATGAAATCTAAATAAATTGTCCAGATGATGTACATACATTTATTTTTTTCTTTTCTAGAAATTTAAAAGCCTGTTAATTCAAGAACTGACAAAGGTGTTCCCAGAAGATATGGCAAAGTACAAAGCTATTAGAGGAGAAGATCCTCCTCCTTAAGTTGGCCTTTGATAGCTCTAAAAAGGTCTTATAAACTGACACCATGCTATAAAAACATTGATTGGAGAGAGAGAGAATCTAAGCCCTCCTAACAACTGTACTAAAAATGGCAGTGGTGACTGTAAAGGAGCTTCATGGTTGTTCGTAGTTCTGGTCTGAAGCTGCTGAATCTTTCTGAAGACTTCTTCTCAGTGATTGTGGTTGAAACTTCCTATGGTAATCTGCTTTTCTTTCCTGGAGGGTTTGAGAAATGGAATTGGTTGCAGGTCATCAATGCAGAGCATTTCCCACAAAGTGCATTTCCATAGCAGAAAAACAGGTTTGGTTTTTTTTTTTTTTCTGGAAAGTGTGCCTCAGGATTGTGGGCTCATCTGTTTCTTAATGCATTTATTACACTTGATTATTTTTCATTTGTAAACTTCAGGGTTTTTTTACTGCAGTACGAACAGTTGACTGCTTTTGTCTTGCCAAATTTTACTGAGCAGGAGCCTGTCAAGGGCTGCAGTTTTCATGTGTCATAATTAGTTGCAGCCAGGAAAACCTTCAGATCTTTTGTTCTGGGAGCTGCAGTGCAGATAGCTAAGGATATAAAACGTGAGCATACCTGGGGACTAGCTCCTCTACAACTTCAATATTTTGTACAGTATTTAATGTAAGCTTTTGTTTATTTGTTTTCTGCAAGCAGGTTGTTGAATAAAAATTTGAAAAAACCTAAATCCTGACATTTTTCTTTTGTATGCTTCTCTTTGGAGTGTGAACTGAAAGAAAAAATAGCATCTTCCTGAGTTCCACACTGATAGAAATGTGTATCAAAACTTGGCTCTTAAAATTTTACATCTGAAGGTGGTGTCAGCTTGGCTTATTTGGTTTTATGATGAAAACCTCCATTTTAGTACCTGAAACAGGAGATTTTGGGCATCAGCAATTGTCACTCGAAGTCCTGGTTAGCTGTGAGCTCATCTATGGGATCTGTAACTGTTCATACATAAGGGAGCCCTAGTTTGGAACAGGATGGTGGCTCCTCACCCAGAGATCAGAGGTTTTTGGGATAGATTGGGTTTGCAGTGGGAGCAAGAGGAGCCCTTTTAGTCTTGGGTATTTGTGAAGCTGGAGCCCTTTGTGCTTATGTTTGTTCTCCCAGATCTATCTTGACTTTTTGTGTCAGCAAATTATTTTATTGCTTTAGCTTTCTTCTGGTTGCTAAATGGAGTGGTTTTGGGCAGGAGCTCCAAGATAGCACTGTATATGCATGTGCTTCATAGCAGGCCTGCCTACTTGGCTAAGACTTAACAGGGATTTAGGCATGTTTGAAGTTACTGGTGGCATAGTTTGCACACCCGAAGCACTCTGTGCTCAGTTACCTGCCTGAGGCACAGCCCATCCATGATGCCAGGTGCCACCAGACTTGGACATAGCAAGAGGAAAAACAGAACCAAAACTAGGTGTTCTTTTTAAAATTTGTTACCTACCAGTCTAGGTTAATCAAGTTGCTGCCTGATATTACCCTGCCCTGCACACTTGCTTTTTCTTGTATTTGTTCCACCTCTAATCACTTTCACCTTCACAATTTTACTTTATGAACTTGGAAAAGTGACAAAGAGAAGGTGCTCCATATTTGTGTTTAGCTCAGCCTGGGTGCTCTGGGTCCCTAGGAGCTGTTGGAGCAAGGTCTGTGACTGCCAAGTGGGATGTATATAGCACACAGGCAAAGGGGATTTTTTGTGTGTGTATAATGTAGTTGGAAAAGGAGCTTAAGAGTAAAACTGTTGACAGCAGGCAGGGGAAGCGATATTTAAATGATAGTTGAGAGAACATTTAGGAGGTAAGAGGCCTGCAGATACTGGTCTGGGTGCTGGAGTATTCTGTCACCTAGCACTGACACCTAGCACTGACACTTGTGTGTCAGATTTGGTTGAGTAGGACTCTAAGACTGGTGCTTCCAAGAAGTCTTACTTATATCTCATGGATTCATAGAAGCACAGAATAGTTTGCACTGGAAGGGATCTTAAAGGTTGTCTAGTTTCAACTCCTCTGCCATGGAGGAGTTGCTCAAAGCCCTCTCCAACCTGGCCTTGAGCACTTCCAGACATGGGCATTTACAGCTTCTAAGGACAACCCATTCTAGTGTTTTACCACTCCCACTGTGAAGAATTTCTTCCTAATACCTCACCTAAACCTGCCTACTTTCAGTTTGAAGCCATCAGCCCTTGTCCTGGGATTAGCTTGGAGTTAGAGGGCCATGAGGAATAAGCTCCACAGCCCAGAGGCCCTCAAAAATGTGTGAAATGTCTGTAAGTGTATTGATTTATTGTTGTCATTAGTTAATGAATTGAGTGCCCGAGGCTGGCCACAGTGACAATGGCTACCCCCATAACACTGACACCCTTGCCTGCTGATGAGAAGAAGGTTTCAGGCTTTCCCAGCTCAGAGAGGTCATTTACAGCCAAAGCATGGATCACATGCTTTCCCTGGATATCTAGGTAGTTGTGGTAAACATGATGACTGAGCTAGTTGCTGGAGATGGAGGATTAGGGTATAACATCATCACCAAATCTCAGCTGCCTGTGTTTTGTGAGGAATCTAAGAAAACTTTTTTGGGCGGTAGATATATACATTAGGAATAAAAATAAATTTAAAAAGCACCAAAAACCAGAAAACAAACCCAGAAAAAACTCTCAGTTAAATCATCAGGTTTCGTGTTCTGCTCAGCTTCTGTTCTACCTTTTTGATACTTTCTTATTCCATTATTTTATTCTTGCTTCTTGTACGATTTCTGGGCTAGCAATTCAAAATATTGCTATTGCTGCAACAGTTCATATTTAGCATAATATTGAAGAGAGGTAACTCTTGTAAATTATGTTTGTCTCAGACAAGAAAAGGTGGCCAGAAGGAGTGTATATGAGTTTATAATGTAGAATGAGAATTGCTAGAAACAATGGTGCTTTCCATTTCCAGTTGCATATGGAACAGAAAAAGCCTAATTTTTCTCTTTTGTCAATTGGTTCTCTGCAAAGGAGCACATATCTGAATTATCCTGATGTCTGCTTTGTTTGATGATAACCTTCAAGGCATTTGGTGAAGGAGATTGTTAGATCTCTCCTCTTTCCCACTCTCTTACCTGCATGGTAGGAGGTGAGATGGAATTTTTTTAAGGGTAACATTAAAACAACATCAGCCAGGCAGCAAAGCTTCTAAAATAGATTTTTGTTGGCCTTTAATTATCTCAAAGGAAAGTTAGAAGCCATTCTGGTTTCAAGTGGATCCTTGAATTTTTAGTAAGATTAATAAGATTTTGGAAATAAAACTGAATATGTAATTACAGGTAATTATTTTTTTGACAATTATCTTCATAACATACATTGTGAGATGAGGAGATGCTGGATAATGCTGCTCAGTATACAGTTCTTTAAAATGGAGTGTGTGCTCCTCTACTCCATTTAGGATAAAGTCAGTGTAAAATTCTTTTGCTCAGGCAGAGAAAGAAATGGATCAAGAGGATGCTAAGGATTTTGCTGCAACCTGTTAAGGCTCAGCATCTTCTCTGTCCCTTTTTTTACTGGAAGGAGAAACAGCTGGGTGCCCAGCCTTCCCCTGTCCTTGAAGCATTTTTTGCTTAAACATCCTTGTGAAGAACAAGTAATGAAGAGCTGTGCAGTCTGACAGAGACAGACATAGGTGCTACAGGAGTTGGATGCTGCTCAGCTGTTGGTTTATCCAACCTATAGCTCTTGTTAATTTGGCTTTTTTTTCATGCAGATCAAGGCACTGTCATTGTTAGCCAGTTCTCAGTGTAAGATGAATCACCAGTGTGCCTGAGACAATCTGTTTCCCT